TATCATATTGTATCAATATATTTTGTTTGTCATAATAATAATAGATATATTTCAACATTCTCTCTCACTACCTTTAATGCAGAGCATGCAGTACTGTAAAACTGCATCTGGGGTGGGGTCATTATTTCATAGCCATTATAGCTAAACCTGGACAAAACATGTATTTCAATTCATTCTGACTTTTTTTTTTTTTTTTTTTTTTAAACTTGCTAGTAAATAAATATTTAATTTACTTTCTTTTTTATTAACATCACTTTCATCTTTGATAAGGTATTCTGGTTGCCTTTGAGATTAGTCGGGCATACACACATAGTATTTTAAACATCTGAACCTCAGTCCTCCTGTTGCTTAATTTCCAATTCCCTACCAGTGAGTGTGTGTTCTAATTGGATTCAGTCTAGACTGGAGCCTAGGGGTTGAAGGTCTGGAGATGAAAGTTTTTGAGGCAGTCTCTGGGTGCTGATCTTTCCTGGAACGGAAGACTCAGACCAGATTTGAAGGAAAGTACTTCACCACTTGAATCAAAGTTACTAGTTTCCATATTCACATATTAATTGTTTGTTACAAAAAGCCTGGACATGAATCAAGGAAAATGTGCTGTAGCTCCAGATCAGCAATATACGTCAATTTTCTTTCTGGTCAGAAAGTGGTATGTTCATGACAAGAGTTAGGGACATAGTGACTGGATGAACTGCATGATTAGTGTGTTTGTAGACTTAGTGTTACTTATTTTTAAAACGCAATTTTTTGCTGTTGTTTTAAGGAGTATGCAGAGTTCCAGTATAGACGGAGACATAGGCAGCGGAGGAGAGGCGACATGTCCAGTCTGCGTAGCAGCACACCCGACCCCGATGACCCCAGCGACAGCACTTTAGGTATGGTAGTGGGCAAACAGCATTCTTCCTCAGGAGATTCTAACTTTTTTGCACAGTTAAACTCTCCATTAAAGCTACAATATTAGAGTTCAGGAAAGCAAATTGCTCCTCCCAGCCTTTCAGCTTCATCCTCATTGTGTATGCTGTCTCAGCTAATGCAGGAACCAGGAGCATGCCAGCCTGTGACTCAGCCAGAGCAACATCTTTCGGCAGCTAGTAATAGCTTGAAGCCTTGGTGCAACAGTAGTACTAGACCAGAAACACCTTCATGTATTGATTGACAGCCGTGAGCTCCCACCCATGACTTCAGCCTTTTCTGATTGGTTGGAAAGGTGAAGCTCACTCAGGCTTTTCAATAAGTCTGGGTCACAGAAGCCTGTGACAGCGCGTCTCTACATTAAGATATGTTTTGGGCTATAATTAAACAAAACAATATGAGAAAAAAGTTACACACCGTACCTTTAAACAATTTTATAACCTGATGATATCATACACGTGGACAGTTCCTGGTGTTTTGCCTTTTTATGATAGTGACTGAGAGAAATGTTTGGAAATGAGAGGAGTGAGGACAAAAGCAACAAACATGGGTCTATCAAAATACATTAAGTTAAAGTACATTGATCCACTATTCTGCTCTCAGTTTTTGATACACTAATATGTCCAGGAGCCAAATTAGGGTACTGGCCCAAACTTTGGAAAATCACAACTGCTCAAGTTCAACAAGCCAATATTTCTAATCCATCAATGTCATCCATCACAGTGCTGCTTTGTTTATGGCCGTGTGGAGTGAAAGTTGGACCGAATTTGCAGTTTTCAAGACAGCTAATAGGTTCTGTTTTGCCAAGGCACATGCTCTGTCAGGTTGCTTATTATGTGATCATCTTGCAGTGTTCTCTAAAATAAAGATGATTTTCCTAAATGGGGTGATTAGCAATGTGTTAAATTGCTATCCAAGTGCTGCTGTAAAGGTTCAATTTAATGACAGTGTTTCGACTGTTGGCATTTTGTCCATTTCTTTTTCTCCAAAGACACACAGGATGTCGGAGGTGGACGACGACAAGGTCCTCTAATGGTGAGTCTACATTTTTATTTCAATCCAAGGCCTTCAGCCTGTGAAACGTTTAAGATGATATGAAAAAAAAATGTACAACATTAGTTCCAGTGTAGATGAATTGATGTCTGGGGCTTTTTTCTCTCATAGTCATTGTGGCTTGATATTGCCATGATAATAAAGTTTAACTGGACCAGTTTTGTTTTATTTTTGTTATTTCTAAAGGCATTCTTAAAAAAAAGTTTGAAAGTCTAATGTGCTTCTTCCCCCTGTAGTTTTGCACACTGTTAAATTATACAAAAGATAGAATATTAAATTCAGAGTCAATATTCAGAGAAAATTGGGCTATAGAATCCAAATGAAAGATGGTGCAAGTACATTACAGGACAAATTTTGATGACTAGTATATATATGGTTGGTGTCAGTCTTCCAAATATCTTGTGCTTTCTGACTGGTAAAATAAACAGATGAAATACATGCACATAATGTACAAAGCAAGGTAAAATTTTCTGTCATTTTAGACATGAAAGCCTCTATTGCTGTTCAAAAACGATGAAAAACACATCACACTGTTACACCAGGTGACATCTTCATTCATCACAATGAATGTGGCACTGACAGCCACAGACTGACTGGAGAAGTTGGAACGTACTGAGAGAGATTAAATTACTGTTATTTCATGGAATTTGTTGACAGTGAAAATATACAATGTCGCCAGCCTTGTCCTTTACCATTTTGGAGTTGTGAAATGTAAAATCTCAAAAACACGCAGCACAAAGCAGCACAGCAGCTGTAAAAAAAGAAAGAAAAAGAATGCAATTGCCAGTAGGTGAAAACCATCATTTTTCTTGCCTGTAGATGGTGCACAGCAAGTTAGAAGCTGCTGCTGCTGCTGCTGCTGCTTCTACTACTTTCCTCACAAAAAGGTGGTGCAGCTCTGAAACTGCTGCTGCTCTGTAACTAGATGAGATCAGTGTGGCCTGGGTATTAAGTACTTTGCATCACTGACACTTTATCCTTTATTTTCTTGCAGGGTCTTGGTTCCTTGGATGACGATGACCCTAACATTCTCCTGGCCATTCAGCTGTCACTTCAGGACTCTGGGATGGCAGGGATTGGGTCCGGCCATGAGGTCCTTGCCAAAGAAGCGTCACTTGGCGCTATTGGCACCTCCCTGCCTTCTAGGCTTGAACAGAGTGCTCCTGGTGTAGAGGTTCTCCCCAGAGCTTCCCTAAGCAGCTCAGAACTGCTGGAGCTCGGAGATAACTTGGCAAGACTTGGCAACATCAACATCAGCAGCCAGTACTCTGCTGCTACTGCGGTTTCCGCCTCTGTACAGCACTGTGACAGTCGCCACCGGGCCTACGGGGCCTCCATGCCAATACCAGTGGCTCCAGTTGGCAGCAACTCATCAACAGGCCTCTTCTCCTCTTCTAGTGACACAGTAGACTCGACCACATGCAGCAGCCACGACCCATCCTCATCCTCTGCATTAGCCGCAAATGCTAACCTCCTAGGCAACATCATGGCCTGGTTCCACGACATGAATCCTCAAGGTATCACCCTGCTTCCATCAACCTCCTCAGACACCGATTCAAACCCAGGTGCACTCCATGCAGGTGGAGGCGGCTGTCTGCAAGATGATGAAAAGGAAATGATGGCGGATGTGGGTTTCTGCTCTCAGAGACTGAGTGACATGGAGGAAAAGGATTGTGCCGTCGCTGAGAGGCCGACCCAGTTAGACCTAGTCACCATGCCACTACCTTACATGGCCACCCTTGACCCGAGTGGAGACCGTGCTGAGCGTGGAGGCTCGAAGGTCTGCCATGTCGACACTCCATGCTGTGACTCTGTATCCGACCAGCTGCCCAGCACCAGCTCCTCTGAGTGGGAGGAGCAAGTGCACCTGGTATGATCTGATTGGCTGAGATTGGAAGGAGTTTTTTTCTGAAAGGCCAAAAACCACTAGAGATTGCAAATTAATCAGAGTTGAGGAATAGTAGCTATTCAGGTGGAATGTATACAGAATGAAGAATGTGTCAGTTCATACTTGGTTGGAAAGTGGGGGAAGATGTTTTTAGACACTTAGGCTAGTCTACCATTGCAGTCAGATCAGTTTCCTGTGTTGAGTGTATTATCAGACCCCCATCAACAAGCCCTCCTGAAACGAAACCACTAACTGAAGGAGAGATTAAATTTGATCACGAATTTCAGTGATATGTTTCCTAAAATTATTCTGTGCGGAGTAAGTTGCTTTTTCTGAAATCATTATTTTAGAAGAGAAAAGAGATTTAGAGACTTTAGCCTTGTGCTGGTATTATTTTTCCACTGGAGTAAAAGCCTACTGTATGTGTCGTACATAGGGAGCAGATTAATAACCAATATTGAATCTGTAGGGTACTGGCTGAGAAATTGTTCTCACTGTCCATATCTGCCTACTTTATAGGTGCCAAACACTGACTAGCAAAAGCACAGTTTGCAGTCACCAAGTGGATTCCTCAAAGCAAATTGTGCCTGCTCATTACAATCTCAAAACCAGTCAGCTAAACTTTAATGTGAAAGTCTCAAGCCATATTTTTCTTTGAGATTACAGCTGAGTGAAATTTTCAAATCTCACTGTTTAAAAGCTGTAGTGTGCTCTGTAAAACTGTAGTTTAAGACCATAATGGTTGTGTACTTAATTATGTGAAACATTCACATTCATTTTTGATTAATTATTCAAATGAACAGGAGGAGGCCCAAAAACATTTCAAAATGGTAATTCATCTCAAAGCCTCTATCTTATAACACTTTCAATAGGAAATGTCTTTTGAGCTTCAACAACAACAGCCGCTGACAGGCCCAGAGGGCTGCGCAGCATCATTCACTTCATACCTTTGTAACAGCGTATTCTGAATTCCACTGCAGCTTGTCTTAAATTAATGTTTGAGTACTGCAGCTGAATGAGGAGCGTGACGGACTAAGTTGACAGTGAGTAGTCTTGTTTATACATAGCAGCAAAGGCCGGTGAAGAGAGATAATCAAGCAATCACATTCAGATTTTGGTGAATTAATCAATCAAGCCCAAGTCACTGTAATGAATCTCTGGGTCTTTATTTAAGTGTAACATGAGCAAAGCCTTCTTAGAGCTCTGCATATGTCCCGGACTGCAGGGTAATGCATGGAGAAAATGTGAATGTGTATTGCATCTCAAACACATGGAGAGTCCATGTTTTTGAAACGGTTCTCTACACAGTTAGAGATACAGTGCCTTTATGTCAATCACCGTTATTTAATCCTTTTTTCACATATTTTTTCTGAGTGCTAATTACACAGTACAGTGTAAACAAAACAAACACCTGTTACCTTAAAGTTATTTCTCTAACATAAACTTTGTAGTGTGCAGACATGAGCTCTTGATTTTTTTTCATCAAAATATTTGTAGCATGAGGCTTTTTGTTGGTTCTAATAGTATTATGTTTATGGATAACACTAACTTTATATGATTTGGTATAATGGGTAATGTCATACTTTCAAATCTTGTTCCCAAATATTTTGAAAAAAGGTTTAATTTCTCCTGCTTTTTGTGCAGTAGGGCTTCTTGCCCCACATTTGGAAACAGTTGGTTTTTCTGTGGTTTAAAAAATAAAAATTACTGTATTGACTTTGGAATGAGTTGACCTACTGTATGTGTATCTATATTTTACCTGAAGACACTAAAATGGAGTAAAGTTGCAATATAAAGTAGGTATTTATTTCAAGTGAAATTGATCCATAAAGAAAAATGGATTGTGAATAACCAATACGTAATGAGCACGTCAGTGTTTTACATTTAAGACCTAATGGTGTTTTTGCACAGACTAATGTCTGACTGAAGTAAATGACCTTTCTTATCCAACAGATGTATAGAGCCACATTAAATCTAAAAGTAGTGATTGCTTTGACAAGTGTCTTGAAGTTGTGAAACTGAGTGCCATGTGATTAGTGGGGCTAACTTGGTTAATGTAAGTGGGTTAAACAGCAGATAACATGAGTTGCCCTTTTTGTGTAACAGTATGCTGTGCATGAAGTGGGTACAAGTCTAAATGGAATTTGTACTTCCTTTGTATTTCACCTCTAATGTCCAGGTGATTTATTTTAAAATGGCATATAACATTTTGTAACACATGGAGATTTTCTATTGTAAAGCAACTAATCCTTGAAATGCTATTTGCACTTTCATAGTCTATACTTGATACATTCCCTCTTTATATAAAAAATGTTTGATGTGTGATGCCAATAAACTATGTGTTGAGTTTTAATTTGTGGTTTTTTTTATTCATACAGCCGAGACAGGTGCTGTTGAATTTTATTGGTCATTTAGACACCTACATTCTGAACAAACATGTCACAGAGCAACCAGCTGGTTTTATGGGAGTGCTAAAGCTAACAGATTCTGTTCTTTAATGGAGTTTAAGCTTCATTTAAATTGATTCTCTCAACAGTGATCATAAGTTTAGCAAGACTTTTTCTATATTTTGTAAACTGCAGCACAGATCAGAGTGGTTGAATACTGTAAATTACTTGTTAAGTGACTGTTTAGTTACTGTAAATCTGCTGTAAATTTCACTTTCTTGTTACAGAACTCTAAAAACAATAGTTAAGTTAAATTTAATAGAAATGAATATTAAGCAAAGAACTTTAACTTGAATACATCATAGCTATCCTTTCATACTTAAATATGAGTGCACGTGTTGTGAGCCTCAATTGGGTTGTCAATCTTAATTCAGTACGAGTCTAGATACATGTCGAACTTTTGTTGTACAGTTGGATATTTAAATGGAGTAGGAGTCTTTCAGTGCGGCTTTTGTGATGTCTGTCATGGAGGTGTGGTGTCAGCGGCAGAGGCCGATGAGCTGGAGCAGGAGCAGGAACAGAGAGACAATGTCCAAATAGAGGTTCAGAGCAGCAAACACATACTCCTCAGGAGACACTTCATACTTCCTGTGTTTCCCACCCAGGATAAGCTGTGTATCAAACACCAAGTACTGCAGAGAGACACAGAGAGATGAGACACTTCAACACGTCCAACTATGACATCTGAAGTGCAGCGTGTTTGTGTCACACACAAAAAAAAAAAAAAATAGACAGAGCAGCGGTTACAGGAATCGGTCCGAAAGAAAACACGGGCAGTATTTCTTATCTTTGAGAGAGCGGACTGTGCTGATAAACAGGCCATATAAATAATCGTGTAGTCAGAGTTGTGCAGCTGAAAATAAGTTGTGACTTGCTGCTGACAGCCTGTTCAGCCCTGTGTGCAGTCGCAGTTTGTTCCACCAGCTGACGGGAAGGGTCACAACATTTGCTGTTAATGCCAAAGGCACACAGAGAGGTGGCTGTGAAAATGAAGCCCACTGCTGTTATGTGGTGCATAATTGAAATTAAAGGGCACAAGGAAATCAGCGTCTTGCTCTTTACACTAACTACTGTGACAAACACTGGTGGCAGGCTGATTGGCCCTGGGATCAAATCTTACATCACTTACACTCACTTAACATTAAGCCTTCTTTGGTGATGGTTTTTTTAAAAGAAAAAAAAAAAAACTGTCACTGTCACTTTCAGTCTTTTTATTTCAACCAGTGTTGAAGAAGACCATATGAAAGTTTGTACTTACTAAGGAAAACAGCAAGGTTCCCAGGCAGGCGTACATGATGTTAAGATACTGTTGAAAGAATCAGACACAAAATCATCAGAGGCATTCAGCAACAAACAGGACTTTATACTGCTTTGTGATTATTTCTGCCACAAATGAAAGTAATATGCAGTTAAAAAAAAGACTCTCAATAGACTCTTATAAAATGTATGTTAGTTTCGGTCTTACTGGTGCTTGCTAGATACACAGTCTCATCCATTAACTCGTAGCTGAAAATTTAGCATACTTTTATCCCTTTTTCCTTTCCAGTTGTTCTGTACAGTTATTATGATGGTTAAGGCTGATAGAGGGTGGAAACAATATCCTTTAAGACAGCGGTGTTTATTTTCTTTTCCGGTTCATTTGTTGCGTTTAAAAATAGTTTACTTCTGTAGATTCCCTGCTTTGGGCTTAAATACCAACAGCTGGCACAGTTAACAGCTGTGTACATCTAAATGCATCGGTCTGAGATCAGTGTAACTCCTGAGAGGTTTGAGAGCGCACTCTCTTCTTTATAGTCTGCTCAGCACACAGGTCAGTGCAAGTACATCCAGGGAATAGAAGCTATGAGGCTGTATGTCTGCCTCTTAACTGCACGCTACTGCAATGCATTTCAAACCTGTTCTCACTGCAAACACAGGTGTTAACACAATGACTCCTTGATTTACCTGAGATCGGAGGATTGCACAAAGTAATGCAAATGAAACGAGGGTCCAGGCAAACACCCACAGGCTCCCATTTGCTGCAGTGAAGTCCCACTGGTGCCAGAAAGGGGGGAGAAGAGAGCAACACTGAATGTGACGAGCCTCTCAAACAGAAAACTGTAGACACAACATCTCTCGTTTAAACTCATCATTGCCATAAGAGCCAGGGCAGTCAGGATTGTCTGCATTGCAGCTGTGCTGTGATGCACCGCAGATTACTCAGTGATGATGACATATTGCAGTTCAACACAAGAAAACGATTCTGGATACAATGATCCTGGATAACTAATCAACAAGATGTCATGCAGGCATAGAGGAGGGCAGTGGAGGTGGCCTTTTGGCCCTCATCCCGCTCAGATCGACAGCAAAAAAATGGCAATCACTACAGGAGAACTGCTTCCACTGATCACCTGAGGAGCTACGGCAAAACATGCAAGGCAGCCTGCATGACATTTATATGACAGCGACAGAAACAACAACAAACAAGAAAAGCTCTGTGCACAGCGTGAACTCCAGGGCAAGAGGTGCTGGAAGCTGCAAGATGAATGTGAACGTGAAGTTAAAATAAATAAACTAAAAGTGTTTGTGATAGTGACTGCTCACTCCGGTAAAACTACAGTATGTCTTTTATGGGATGAGGGTGTATTTATATCAAAGTATTACCTTCCATATGCATATGCCTTCAAGCTACAGATGAATAATGAGCAAAGAGCATTTAAAACTGGATATATTCTCACTATAATCATTAGACACCTGCTTGCTCATTTTATCAAATCTAATCAGAAAGAATAAATGTGTGCAGATGTAATCTGTGGCAAAATGTGTGAAGTGCCAAAATGCATTTAAAAGCAATTATGAGGGACTTAAAACACAATTTGAATTTGGCCACGTCTATTTCACTTGTCTAATTTTTCATCCCACTGGTTGTAAAATAACTTTTGTTCTGAATATGAGCCATTTACTGAAGCAGTGAGCCAAGCTGCCAGTGTGGTGATTCTCAAAGGGTCTCCTCACATGTGCACATTCACTCTTACTAATAAAACATTCACAACTTGAAATGAAACTTTTAAATGTTACTTACAGAAGCTACTTAATATAAAACAAGTGACATCTTTGTGCAAGATTAATACTGTTAGAGTACCTAAAGTACACACTGACACAATATACAATAAAAGGAGAAAACTCTCATATCAGAGTTCTTCACATTCAACGACTGTATTATTGTAAGTGTTAGATGAGATAGTGGGTGAGAAATCATGAATGCAAGTCACTTATATTTTCTTATACTAAAGTGCATGCACATAACACACCAGAAATGACCTTTTCAATATTAAAATATATCTCGCTGGAGGAGCATCATGTCTCCCAGTGTGTACCTGAAAGCGCCTTTTTAAAGATTCATTCCAGAGTGTGTTTGCTTTATTAGACAGTTCTTGGTGAAAGGAGACAGACAAAAAAGAAAGAGGGTGGATTTAGTAAATAACAAAAGGCTCCAGGCCTTTTCTGAACACAAGATTTATGGTGGGAGGCTCAGCCAGCCCAGGCAGAGGTTTAACTCTGTCCCACCACTGGACACAAGGAATTAACTTGATTGGCAAATACACTGATCTCAGCAGTAATCATACTTCTGCCTGGACAGCAAACCCATCAGAGTTCTAAGCCTTTGCTGGTGACTGCATGTAGAAAATATTGCCAACAGCTCAGCTTAACACTTTTTTCAGCTCAGTATATGGAAATTTACCAGCGACCGCATAGCAAAGTCGCCGCAGTTTATGAAATTTCACTTACGACTACACTGCAAACTGAGCTCAGAGTGTGTGACAGATCTTACCTTCGACTGCATAGCAAACAGACTCAAGGCAAAGGACACCACCGCTGTTGCCCCCACAGCCCACAGAACTGCCTCGGCATCAAAGTTCCTGCAGACAGAAATATCAAACAGATATGGGGTGGGAAAGGCACCCCATACTATCATGTCTAACTAGTCGGCAGGCAGAGTGGATACATGAACAGTGGGGTTCTGTTTTATCCTAAAAGGGAAACATTTCTTTCTTGTAAGAAATGTGGCATTTTCTCCATTTAATATTCAGTATTATACATCTCAGAGAGTGATGGCAGAGACCCCCACTGGATATGCATTGCATAATGTATTGCCCATGTTCATTTCATTTATGGCAATATCCTATAAATATGATAATTTGAATGTATTATTGATAGTCAGGCCTCAGCTGATGCCTTTTCTGACAGAGTGACATGAAGCTAAAAAAGAAATGTCTCCCAGATAGAAAAGGTAACTTGTGTTTACACGGACACTGGTACAGAAAAATTGGTTTGGAACCGTTTGTGATGCTTCTGATTTATCTTCAGCCAAAAACCTGCAAAATATATTTCCATATGCTTTTTAATTTGTTAAACCAGCAATGATAACATCTTATCAGGTTTGATGGCTTCATTACTGGCATTGAATACACTACCAGATATGGATCAAATAGGGCTGTTATTGTGGAAATGAGTCGGCATCAGGTGGGGATTCATCCTTGGAATTAAATACTCACGCTGCCACAGATCCAAGCATCAGGCCCTCTGCGATAGTCTGAGACAGGGAGGGAAAGAAAGAGAGAGAGAGAGAGAGAGAGAGAGAAATGGATAGTAAATACAAGACAAAGAAGAAAAAAAACTGAAATAGAGCAGGTGTGGTGGAGGTTTAATTTGATGCCTGGCTGGCACTGCTTCTACTCACAAACAGGCCCAGGGCGATGAAATTGAGGGGAACTTGACGACGGAGGTTGTCACAGCAGGACAAGGCCACGATGAGCACCATCACCGCTGCCCTATTTCACAGAGAATATAGAGTGTATCGTAAATAGCAAATAAACAGGCTATAAAAAGAAAAAAAGCACTGTGTTCGATGGGAGAATTCACTGAGTGCATTATTTATGCATGGCGTAGCTAGCAGTTTCTGGATTCAGACTGGGGTGACAGTTTGTGACTTCCTTCTATGGATTTCCATGAGCAACAATTTCATTCAAGTAGCTCACCGAACTGGAGATTTGCAGATGGTCAAACTGGTTAAAACAACAAAGTGTGCAGCATCTAGACAATCAAACTGAATGTTTAGGAAAGCTTACATCATGCAGTAGGAGAACCAGTTGTTGTCCCATGCCCATTCCCTGAGAGTGTCCCTGTTATTTGATAAAAAAAGAGGATTTTTTAATAGAGGCATCATTTATTTGATAGGAGCAGTAGAACGATTTTATTAAATATTAACAGAGGACAGAGCATTGTGCACACGGGGGCTGAATACAATTTATGAAAAGAAATTACTGTAGCAGCGTTCTACCACATCCATTATACAAAACATATAAAGCTTTCACACTACTGCCAGCAAAAATATTATGTGGTAGGAATGCTCTTTTATTCTCTACCAACTTGTCTCAAGTCTCATATTCATGATGATCTGAGCAGTGCTGTGCTGCATGCTCAAAGTGTTTGTGGGGACAACGATTGTACTTGTGCTACTCTGATGTTGGGTGCTCCTAAATATTGACAGACTACACTAAATGTGGAAAGATGGATAGGTGCCTATCATGGATTCCTCTCTTTTAGGAAGGAATTCCCTTGTGTGATGGAGCCTCACCAGAAAAGAAAAGCACAGATGATCCCGACAGTCACCAGCAGCTGAATCATCAAGGTCAAGTAGACTTTCCTTATGAAACCTGTTCAGAAATACAGACAGACACGCAGTGAGACACGACAGACAGACTGGGTAAACAGACAGGGGAAAGACAGATAATAATGACAAAAACATCTGCCAGGGCGAAGCAGACGGGCAGGTGGGGTTGTTTATGCTGCACCACATTTAAAAATGGTTGTTTTCACCCAACCTGCATTTCATCCTCTCATTTAAAATGATTGTGTTGTGTGGGAGGTGGAGAGCTGAGGCAGGCTACACCACAGATCAGGGAACAATTTGCAATTCCAAATCAATTTCAAGAAAACACTGCAAAGCAAATTAAGGAGTAAATATTGTTTATCCCTTTTCAGCTCTGACCATGGAAACAAAAACATTAATTTCTCTCACTTTCTGTTCCTCCCTTTTTTTAGCCCTCACCTCTTCTTATGGCAGCGTCACTGAAGCCGCTATCCTCTGAGCCATAAGAGCAGACAGGTGGAGCCTCACCATACTGCTGGTTTTCTCTGGCCGCTGCCGCTCCCTCGGGATTCACCATGTTGCTATAGGTGCCAGGGGGCGAGACCACTGCAACATTGCCTTTCCCCACCTGGGTCACCCAAAGAAATGACATGACGGACAGCTCAAACTACACCTCTAGAGAATTCTACCTTTGAACAAAAAAAATAAATAATAATAATAATTTGAACAGTGGTCTGAGTTTTCTTTTTGAAATGAATTAATGAAAGAAAATCCATCATTTATGTGTAATCAAATGTGCAAACAGTGCTTATGGACATTTTTATAATTAAGGTTTTATAATGATCCTATGATCAAAGCCAGGTAATGTATGATTTTGTCGGATGCTGTACTAATAGCTGGACATTAAATCTAAAATAAACAGGACAGAAACAAACTTCAACTTACTTCCTCGTTCCCCTCTCTTTTGTGATACAAATTAAATAAGTTTTAATATTACTACTAACCTGATAGCTCACCCCTGTGTAAGAACTCTCTCCATGGTCATGAGGGTTGTATGGAGGAGGGTGAGGCTCATATCCACCATTGCTGCTGCCATTAGTTTTTTCCATTCTACTAAAAGGCAGAAGATCATTTCATTGACTGAGGCACCAAACTGACAGAGATGTCAGACCAATAGGTAAGTTAAGGTCATGGCTGAGACACAAACACATCCTTTTGAACAGTGTCAGTGCTTTCATCAGGGATGTAAAATTGGCAAATGGGGCAATGTCACTGTGGAACAAATAAATGGGTAATTACAAAATGATGCATCACGCAAACACTGAGAGCCATCCATGACTAACATCCATAATTATGGCCTTAAGCCTCCATTTAATAGAGCTGTATGTATATTTAATGGCCAAATAGGTTGTGGTTAATTGATCTCAGAGGAAATTCAGTTATCATCAAGAGGGACAGATAGACAGTAAACTCTGGGATTTATTTTGCATATACAAACCACCATTCCCATTGGGAGAGTGGTCTCAGACTTCTGGGCCGACTTTATACTAAAGACATGAGAATTTAAGGTCCCTTGGTTTGCATTAATTATAAAAGAAATGCAGTTATTATTAGCTACACAATGACCAACTCTGTACTACATAAAACGGCAGTAAAGCAATGATCACACTAAGTGCAGATAGGAAATCATTATATATATATATATATATATAACACAGTTTCAGTTTTCAGCACTACATATATACATCTATATTGCATGTATGTCCATATATCGATGTAGGGTTTATATACAGGATCTCTGGAGCTCGGCCAGTGACAATGGGGTTTTTGCTCAGTTTGGCTGGGTGGCCAGCTCTAGAGAGTCCTGGTTGTTCCAAACTTTTATGAGGCCAGAATGTTTCTGTAGCCTTCCCCAGATCTGTGCCTCGACACAATGCTGTCTCTGAGCTCTGCAGGCAGGCAGTTCCCTCCTCATTTTGACTTTTGTTTCCTACTTCAGCTTCCTCAACTCAGACTGGACAGAGCAAAGTTAATATACTTAAACAAATTTTCTAGGATTTGAATGAGAGGAAGTGGACTTTGTTTCTGTTCACTTACATAGACCAAAACAGTTGAACATCACTTGCGACATATGATGAATAAAGCACTTTCCAAAGTACGCCTCATGTGTTTCAAGTCTTCAAAAAGTCATCAATTGCTGTTTGACTTTAAGTCTGTTCACATAAATCAATTAATTACAGCTCTAATCCATTCTAACGTCTTACCTCTGCTGTGACGGCCAGGAATCTGCTCTGCTGCTCTTCCTGTAGCGTTGGTTCACCTTCAGGGCAAAGTCTACCTGCTATCAGTCGGTTCCCACAGAGACAGGACTTTAGCTCCAGGGGAAAGGATGTATCCCTCATTAGGCTCAATGGGATATTCAGATGAAGTTATTAAAATGTCTGGCAGGCTGGCACTTTGTCAGAGCAAATCATGTCTTTACGATTTTCTTTCAGTGACACCGATTCACACAGGCCTTTAGAATAAGTTAATAGTGGTGCTGTCACACACTTTGAAAAAAAGGCATGTTTTAAATTTGAATTTCCCAGAATGATGATGAGTCTGTAACATTTCATCCTGTACTATACAAAGAGGAAAATGCAGTACAATGGCTCCCTGTGAAATCCTGTGAGTCATGTGACCTTCCTGGCTTACCTTGGTTACACATTGATAGCAAGCTGCCTGTGGAGACTGTCCAGTAACAGAGAGACGAATGCAAGATCAATCCAGCCTACACAAAGGGATTATGGATATTGAGTCACATCAAGGAAGAATGGCTGAGGACATACCATATGCTGAAAATACATGAACCAATGTAGGTCAATACAGTTTTAGGGCTTCTCCATGGAGAATTGCCACAGAAAGGGATATAGTGAAGACATTCATCCATGAATGAGAAACCAGTCCAGGATGAAGCTCAAGGAAAATGTAATTTCCACTTCTTAGCATTGATTAAATTTGATTAGACTACACATTAAGTATTTAATGTAATATTCAAAGTGATTATGTCTGGGATAGATAACAATTCGATATTTAACCTCTAGATGGCATTTCAGCCTCTTTTTAAGTCATGGATGAACAAGCAGAGTCTGGTGGACCTCCTGCCTCACGTACAAACACTCAGGAAGTCCAGCTTTTCATTTGAGAGATGGTGATTCTGCAGAAGACACATACAAATCAAAATTATTATATCAGCATTTGGGATGAAAGGTTTGATGGTATATTGGTATCAAAAAACATTAATTCCGAATTCACTGGATTAGTGTACATTACAAAAAAAAAAAGACTTTCTACTGAGTGAGAGTTTTTAATCCAAACATTTCACATCAGTTTATGGAAACTATTCATATATCAAGCAAACACTGGGGGGCACTAGTTTCCTTTGCTACTTCCACTAATTGCATTGATATGGTTGTGACTCTCCTCCTTCTCATGCTGCCACCTCCCCAACCAACCAGCAGCACCAAATCCTCCAGAGAGCTCCCTCGAACCGGCCACCTCTTCATTTTAACTGTTGGATCAAATTGTTAATTTCTTTCACTTACCAGAGAAACTAATTACATGTTATGGTTTCGTTTATATCAAAGTGTTGCTAATACAAAAGGAAGTATTATTTTTCCTATTTAGACAACAATATGTAAAGATTAACAGACTTGTTACATGGTGGCATATGCACCACATTTGAAGGCACAGGCTGTTTTTCTGTCATAAATCCAGATTCTCACTGTTCTCTTCTGATTAGTGTGTCAACATGGGCTAGAGTAACACTGCCTGCTCAAATCTGATGAGCCTGCTTTCACCTATTCATGAGATCTGAGTCGGATTTGAATGGGTGGCACAACAAACAAAGTCACATTTGAGCAGGCAGTTGAAATCCGGCCTGTGTTGACATAACAATCAGTGCGGAGCCCAGTGTGAGGCCGCATTTAACACAGATCTGATTGCCTCTGCATTGTCCAAACAGGAGCAACACATGAGGCTCAAGCCGCATGGAGCAGAGTGTGTGCAGAGCAGAGAGCTGTGTCCACACCATGAGACACAGGATGAGTGGAGGGAAAAAAGTATAGATAGATAGATAGATAGATAGATAGATAGATAGATAGATAGATAGATAGATAGATAGATAGATAGATAGATAGATAGATAGTGTGTCCTCCGTCTCGATGCAGACAGACTGTGACAGCTCTGTTTTGTCAGACTGCTATGATGCACTTTAGGGCTTCTGGGACTGAGGATCACAGATGGGAGTGTTCTGGTGTCACTGGAGAAGGAGAAATGTAGTCATCATGTGAGTCTCTCTTTCCACCATATGGAGCTGTGAATTACTGCTTCCCGGCCGTTCAGGCCACAGTAGGATTTTTTTCCCGAGAACTGAAATGGTGGTTTGTGGGACCTCAGAGAGCCCCAGTGCAGGTCTGGAGGTCTGTGTCACTAGATGCTGCTTCATTTCTAATTTACCACTGTCCCGGAGAAATTCAGCAGGATGTATGGCTGATGAGAGAGCTCTACAATGGCTTGCACTACACTGCAGGACTACATGTTTTCCTGTAAGTAATGAGACAGCTTGCACTGTGTTCTATTCAATAATAGTCAAGTAAGGAATAATATTTCAGTGAAATAAAAAATCCTGACACAACATTTTGACTTACTATGATGGCCAAATCAGTGTTGCATTATCTTGGTTAGTAAATGAGTGTGATACAAAAGGCACAGCTGCAAAGTAACTCCATGGATATAATTAAGTGAATAAATAACTGTTATCCATAGTTGATTTAATATATTACCCTACTGCAGCAGAAAGCACAAAACTCTAGATGAATTTATCCTTATTAGAGTCAGAGTTTACATTAGCTTTGTCTGCAATGAGCACTCCATTACTGAATTATAAATAATCTCCAACAAACTTCTGTCTAAACATGTTCAATGAGGAGCTTAATTGATTGATTATCATCAACTGTGCTACAGACACACCTAAACTACAGTTACTGAAATGGACCACGATAATACAGCTATTTTCATCTGTGGCTCTGTCACAATTTATCTTAAAAATAACTGTATTAAAAGGGAAATAAAAAAAAAAGTCTACTCTGACATCATTTTGGATCTATCAAAAAAAAAAAAAGTCAGTTTGAAGAGTTTTGAATAATGCATTTACACCTAATGCAGCATATGTTAAAAAAAAAAAAAATAATAAGTGTGAAGAGTCAAATTATTTGAAAAGTTTATAGTGCATTTCCTTTAAAAGCAACCATATCAATACATAACTTTAGGTTACGTGCATAGCACCAGTTTCTTGAGTAGCATGAGTGAGCTGTCAGAAGCTAAGCCAATCTTCAATACAGGTGTTGTATTGAAATGTATTCCCCCTTCAGACCCGTTACAATTATTTGTCCCTCTATGGTTGCGGTTGAGGTTTACCTTAGGTTACGGTTGGTGTAGCAGAAATAACTGCGCATCACAAATGATGACTGGTTGGGGTTTGGGATAAGGTTTGGTTCAGGTTTAGGCAAGGGAAACACATACTGATGGGGAAACCGACTTTGACAATGCACCGGATCTCAAGACTGATGAACTCAACTGTCAGACTGGTGGGGGTAGTTCCATTGCGGGGTGCTAGTTGCTGGGCATACTGGTCCAACTACCTTAACCATGGGTGGATTTTTGTGCCACTCTGGTTTATCTCCAAGGAGTGTATTGTTGCTTCTTGCAGTTACCTCAGTGTATACTCCTCAGTAGACCTACATAGCCCGACAGTTATCACTCCAGGTCAGTCTGGCGAGTGCCTGTGCACTTGTCGGAATAAAAGTTTTGGATAATGATTGTGTGACATCAAAACCAGTGCTATAAATGCGAACTTCATAAGAAATCTAAGTAGTTTATGGTGGGTCTTATGGTTAATCATTGTATATCTATCCAGTAATGCTAACATAATCAGTGCTAACATAAGTCCTACCGACTCCAAATGCTGTTGACGTTTGGCAATACTGTCTATCTAACTCTCTATTCTAACTCTTCTCGCCGGCCACAGCTGTGGCCAGAGGCATTATGTTTAGGTGTTGTCTGTTTGTCTGACTCATACTCTGGAACGCAATATCTCAGGAATGCCTTGACGTCCACTTGGACTCCTGACTGAACTGATTAGACTTTTGTTAGTCAAAGGTCAAGGTCACTGACCTCATGCCTGTCCCATTTTTGTGAATGTGATATATCAGGAACACCTAAAGGGAATTTAATTACACCTGGCACAAACATCCACTTCAAGGAAACTCAGGAACAGAAGGGGAGATTGCCAAGATGTGTGTGAGTTAATGTTTTAGAATATGTAGCTTCTTTTCAGCAACATGCATATTTGAAGCATTGTGTACTGTCATAACTACAACTACAACTGATAGACTGTCTGTCTGTCAGAATCAACTTTATTGGCCAAGTAGGTGAACACATACAAGGAATCTGACTCTGTTTTTTGTTTCTCTGTCATAACCTGGCTCAGTAGGCCATGGCAAAACGGGAAAGAACACAAAATGCTATTCACTAAACTAAACTGAAGCTTTTCATTTTAACAGAAAATTAAACCGCAACAGATGAGATGTGTTTAGTCAGTGGCATCAGTACTGTCTGTGGGGATGTGTGTGAAAAGTGTAGTGTATGGTGATGTGGAGTAAAACGAAAGCAAAGCAAAAAAGATGCAGGCGCTGGCAGGGAAGAGGGAGAGAGGAAGCCACTCTGGGAGCTGAGGCTTTTATATCCTGTGGAGCACTGGGCCCAAGTGCTCTGGATCTGGCTGGATACTGCAATCAGCTCCACCTCAAAGAGTAGTAACTGACACACCGCACACGCAAGGAGACAGCCCCCCCCCCCATAAAGTCATTGTCCCAAAGGCAATCACCGGCATTCTATCACCGACCCACAAACACAAAACATAATCACTTCAATTACTCAAAGCCAATGAAGGAAGAAAAAGTATATACACATAACCTTCCTTCTTGCCTTGGACTACTGTTTAATTCCACCCATCCTGAGAAGCAGATTAAGAAAACAGGCAGACCAAGAGCAAGTCAAAAAGGCTGTGAGAAATGGCATTACAGTAGGCTTAGAGATCACCGAGGCAAGAGCTCAAAGCAAAAGGGGCATGTGCTATGACACTGTTCCTTTAATGCGTCTAATGTCAAGGTCATAGGCCTTCAAAAACAGAGACCATCTCATTAGTCTCTGATTTGGGCATTTAAGAGACTATAAAAAGGTCAGAGGGATGTGATCCATATAAACCACAAGAGGCACAACCACTAGC